GCTATTCCCCTGCCTCAGCCTCCCAGGTAGCTGGGATTACAGGTGCATGCGACCATGCCCAGCTGATTTTTGTATTTATAGTAGAGATGGGGTTTGACCATGCTGGCCAGGGTGGTCTCAAACTCCTAACCTCAGGTGATCCACCCACCTCGGCCTCCCAAAGTTCTGGGATTACAGGTGTGAGCCACCGCGCCCTACCAGTGCATATTTCAGTCAGATCTAAGTGATCTCTGTGACTCCAGACACAATCTCACTGAACTCTCGTTTTTTCATACGTATAGTGAAAGCACAGGTTTTAAGGTCCCTTTCTACTCTAAAGTGTTATGCATCTTTGTCAAGGGAGATGGGAAATGACTGTTGTCTCCATTCTCTTCACTTGTCCTTGAACAGAGCTCACTCTACTCTGGATGAGGACCTGGAAAGATGGCTGCAGCCACCTGAGGAGAGCATGAAGCTACAAGACCTTCCCAAGGGCTCTGAAAGGTTATTGTTCCCCAAGAGAGAATCCTTTTTTTCTTTTTCGGGAAGTGGGGCTAAGTTTTAGACTTCTTGGAGAATGAATACCTGGTGATGGCATTACATTGATTTAGATAAGCCAGTCCTGACTCCACCTGTCTGCACTCATATTTGCCCTTCTTCCTCTGACCACCCACAGTACTCAAGATATTGATTAGCAGATTCATGTCAGTATAGACAGAGGCTTCTAAGTTTGCTGTATCTTGGCCCTGCTACCTTTGACATTTTCATCAGTCATTTGAATTAAATCAGAAAAGGCATGCTTATCAAATTTTTAGATAACACAAATTTAGGAATGAATGCTGATGTGATGAGTAATAGTCTGAGGATTCAAAATCATCTTGACAGGTGGAAATGTTAGATTCTGTAAAAGATAAAGGTCAAAGATCCAAAATTACAGAATGTGTGAGACCTGGTCTAATTGAAGTTTTCATCAGAAGCTTCTGCTCACTATAATTTTACTGAGGGCAAGAAGTATGTCTTATTTTTGTGTGCCCAGTACTGAGCCGTCAATTTCTTGACGATGAGAAGTCAAGAAATTCTTCCTGAGAAGGCATGGGCAATGACTCTGTGAGGCCTGTTTGATGAAGTGCTGAAAAGGTCAATGCAGCATTGATGCTGGATATATAGAAACGTACTGTCCAGATGATGGTAATGTGCTGCTTAGAGGAGTCCTAGGACCCGTGTGGGGCTCCATTCTGGGCATCACATTTTAAAAGGGATATTAACAAACACAAGAGTGTGGCCACAAATCAGTCAGAGATCTGGAAACCATGTCATACGAGAACAGCTGAAGGAGCTGAGAAGCTCAGCCTGAGAAGAGGAGATGGAATGGAGAATTTGATAGCTGCCCTCAAATACCTGAAATATTGTGAAGTAAAGAGAGTCAGCTTACTTTTCTGCCCCAGAAGACTGATTAGTGACTAGAAATTGCAGAGTAACAGATTTTTATTCAGTAAAGCACAAACCTAATAGCCACAGCTATCTGATAAAGGGAACAGCTGCCTGCCTTTACACTTACTTTAGTAATGGTTACTGCTGCTCAGGCAGTGGCTAGATGATTCCCTGTCTCGGGCATTTGAACGGGGGTGGAAGATAACCCAAAGGCCTCCTCCAACTCTTGGGCCTGTGATTCTATTAGTGGGAAAATATTAAGAGGGGAAAAATTCTTTTGACTGTAGCTGGCTTTATTTTCTCTCTCATTTGACATATTTTGTTTTGACTATCCACCACATGAAAACAGAATAATCCCTAAACAATGTTATTTTGGTTCAACCAGCATCCACCGAGCACTGACAATGTCCAAAGCACTGTGCTAGGGGCTGGAGGTACCACGAAGAGGGATAAGATGGCTCCGCCTATAAGGAGTTTCCAGTTGGGTCAAGGGGATGGTCTCTGCTTAATAGATTGACAAACGTGGTCTTAAATTTTGAGGTACTTAAATTATTTACATATTTCACTTAGGAGAGAGTTTCAGGAAATGAAGATGATAAAATAAATGATGGTTTTGAAAAGGACACCCATGAAAATTTAAGTAAAATGCCTTGTTTTTCCTTTGAGGCAATGTAGCATAGTGGTTGAAAGCAGAGTCTAGGGCAGAGTGAGTCTGAGGTCAGATTCCAGCTCTAGGAATTATTAGGTGTGTAATTTAACTTCTGTGTGCCTCAGTTTCCTCATTGCTTAATGGGGATGGCAGTGGTAACTACCTTATATACTTATGATAATTAAATGAGTTAAATTATAGCACTTAAACCAATGCCTGGTCCATAGAGAACACTTTTGTTAGTGCTAGCTATTATATGGGTTTTTTTTGTTTGTTTGTTTTGTTTTGAGTACAGTCCTATTTTCTTGGCTGTTGTGCATATGTTTTGATTCCCCAAATCGTTGTTACAGGGAGATAAATATCAAAGATCAAGAAGTTGGTGAAGACAAGAGAAAAAGGGAAGATAGCATCACGCCAGAGAGAAGGAAATCAGAGAGTGTTTTAGGGACTTCTGAAGAAGGTATGAATTAATGAGTATTTATAATGTAGTCTGTAGTCCTTAGGCTTTGATGTGCATCAAAGTTATTTAGAAATGTTTCCCAGATGCTATACATAATCCTCCTGCCTTTGATAATTTATTTTTCCCTGCAGTTCAGCCCAGGTATTCTGTTAATTGCCAATCATAGCTTTATCACAAAAACAGTAATAACATCCAATTCTATTTCCAAAGCAAGCTTTTGCCCAGTCTCATCATCATTATCTTGCACATTGCCTGGAGAGACATTTGCTTCTTCTTTTTTTTTTTTTTAGACAGTTTCACTCTTGTTGCCCAGGCTGGAGTGCAGTGGCACGATCTCAGCTCATCGCAACCTCCGCCTCCTGGGTTCAAGTGATTCCCCTGCCTCAGCCTCCCCAGTAGCTGAGATTGTAGGTGCGCGCCACCACGCCCAGCTAATTTTTGTGTTTTTAGTAGAGACGGGGTTTCACCATGTTGGCCAAGATGGTCTCAATCTCTTGACCTCAGGTGATCTGCCCACCTCGGCCTCTCAAAGTGCTGGGATTACAGGCGTGAGCCACTGCATCCAGCCGATGTTTTGCTTCTAATTGTCCAACGTCTTCAAAAGAGTTTTAAATTTAGCTCATATAGATGCTTCAAAATCCAGTAAGAAATCACATTTATGGACTTTAAATGGAGTCTACAAGTAATGTAAAAATTATAAATTAACCTTAATTTTAAAACTATTTTGATAGAGCTTGAAGGCTTCTGATATGCCCTTTACAGTGATGCTTTCCCATATTTAAGTTCTTCCTACTTAGGGAAGTAAGAGACATTAACTCTTTCAGAGCATCTGGTATTCCTTTCATCCCTTCCTGATTTCCTACTCATTCTCTCCATCTCTGCCCTGCTTTGTGCCCCAGAATGCTGACCCTAGTGGACTGTATCTCCTGGACTTCCTGTTTGCCAATGACAGGCCCCAGCAGAAGATTAAGGGGGCTAGAGAGAAGTTGGGGTATTACTTTGCCTCCCTGCTTACTTCAGCACCTTGTACCTGGTAGAAGTGGTGTCCCTCCACAAGTGCGGCTTCTGTAGGCAGCCCATTCATCCCAATTCCAGCTCTCATTAGGCTCTGGTAACTGACCTCTTATCTCCAACACTCAGTTCCTTCAGACTTAGGCTTCCCACTGCTGCTAATCACTGGATGCCTTGACATTCCTTGTTCGTTCCCTTAACTCTAAATAAACCTCTGTATGTAGTCACTTCATTAAGGATCTTTATTTGAACCAGCCATGGGTACATTCTGTTTCCTCCAGAACCCTGACTGCAACAGGGCCTAGAGCGTGTAGACATTTAGCTATTAATAGTATTGATTTCACTGAGAAGATAATACAGGGACTTTGTGAATTAGTGTCATTAGTGTCCATTGCTGTGGCAGAAAACTATAGAATGTTAGGAGGGGAACCCATTAACTGTGTTTTTAGAAAGAGTCTATCTGGCAGAATATAACAACCACTGTAGGTAAAACAGTCTACCCTAAATGAGAGGGAGCACTAATATGAATACTGGCACCCTTTGACCTAGAAAATAATCATGTTGTTTTTTCCTTCCTCTTATATTTCATCAAGATGAACTAAAACCTTGTTTTTGGAAGCGACTAGGTTGGTCCGAATCATCCAGGTAATGAGATACGAGATGTTTGTAGATCAAAAGTCATATTTATAGACAACAGAAGCAGAATTAAAAACATTTACCAGTGTCTAAATACACATTAATGACAAAGACTTGAATTTAGACAAACTCGCTCAATGTTTAAAATGTTAGTGTTTATAGGCCGGGCGCGGTGGCTCAAGCCTGTAATCCCAGCACTTTGGGAGGCCGAGGCGGGTGGATCACGAGGTCAGGAGATCGAGACCATCCTGGCTAACATGGTGAAACCCCATCTCTACTAAAAATACAAAAAACTAGCCGGGCGTGGTGGCGGGCGCCTGTAGTCCCAGCTACTCGGAGGCTGAGGCAGGAGAATGGCGTGAACCTGGGAGGCGGAGCTTGCAGTGAGCCGAGATCGCGCCACTGCACTCCAGCCTGGGTGACACAGCGCGAGACTCCGTCTCAAAAAAAATAAATAAATAAAATGTTAGTGTTTATAGTTAATTAAAATGTAAAGTGAAATTAATGCCAACTTTGATTAAATAAGTGATAGAGTCAGCATAAGAACAGTTTTAGGCCGGGCACGGTGGCTCACGCCTGTAATTCCAACACTTTGGGAGGCCTAGGTGGGCAGATCACCTGAGGTCAGGAGTTCAAGACCAGCCTGGCCAACATGGTGAAACCCCGTCTCTACTACAAATACAAAAATTAGCCGGGCATAGTGGCAGGTGCCTGTAATCCCAGCTACTTGGGAGGCTGAGGCAGGAGAATCACTTGAATCCAGGAGGCAGAGGTTGCAGTGAGCCGAGATCAAGCCATTACACTCCACCTGGGGAACAAGAGCAAGACTCTGTCTCAAAAAAAAAGAACAGTTTTAATATGGAGAGAATACAGAAGATGCTGCTGTGAATTGCTTTTTCGTCATTTTGCCTTTCCATGACACACTGTTGGTCATAATCGCCCTTGATTATAAAGACCAAAATCCCTTTCCCTTGAATTTAATTGAGTAGAAAGATGTGGTTTGTGTCTTTAAAAAACATACACACCAACTTGAAACTTCCTTTTTTGTTCTTTAAAAAACATGTGCATAGGATAATCGTGCTGGATCAGAGTGACTTGTCAGACTGACTGTAATTGGATCGTAGATGGACTCCTGGCCTGAGTTTTAAGTGTCCTGGTTGTGAGCTCCTTTCTTCTCTTTCTGCTTCAGTTGCTATCAGGGCAGCAGTTCCAGTTCTGTAAGTCTCCCTTTGTTCAGCTGCCACAATGGACATCATCATTTGGCCCTCTCTGTTAGCAGCACATTCAACCATTTGTTTTCAGTCAGATTTCTGAAAAGTGAGAGGTAGTTTTGATTGTAAAAATTTTTGGTTGTGCCTAGAATGGCTTTGGTTTTGTTGATGTTAATTTTCAAAAACTTTAACTCTTGTTATATAATAAAATGTTTACTTTTAATAACAGATTTCGCTGTGTAAGATGTATTTCTGAATTTGAGTTGTTGGGAGTTGTGGGGAGAACTGCCACCCAAAGAGGCTTCAATTTCTGACAAATATGCAACTACTGCTACCACCCATTATACATACTGGTACCAGTCATCTGTGTCTCATAACAGAACTACAGCTGAGAGTGCCATATTCCCATTCCAGCTAGAATTGGCTCACACAATCAAAGTATAGGTAGTGGCCAGATGTGGTGGTTCACGTCTATAATCCCAGCACTTTGGGAGGCCAAGGCAGGAGGATTGCTTGAGCCCAGGAATTCGAGACTGGCCTAGGTAACAGAGGGAGTTCCCTGTCACTATAAAAAATTAAAAAATTAGGCAGACATGATGGTGCTGTCTATAGTCCTAGCTACTTACAAGGCTGAGGTGGGACGATCACTTGAGCCCAGGAGGTTGAGGCTGCAGTGAGCTGTGATTATACCACTGCACTCCAGCTTGGGTGCAGAGTGAGACCCTGTCTCAAAAAAAAAAAAAAAAAAAAAAGTAAGTACAGGTAGCAATAAAGTCCTAAGATAGTTTGAACTCGTTAAGGTGAACAAATATTATCTCCATCTATTTTGTATTGTACCACTAAGATCATAGCATTGTCTCTAATTTAGCCTGTTGTGACCACTGGCCAGAGGCACATGTGCAGTTTTTTTTTGTTTTTATTTTTGTTTGGAGACACAGTCGCTCTGTCACCCAGGCTTGAGTACAGTGGTGCGATCTTGGCTCACTGCAACCACCAATTCCCGGATTCAAGCGATTCCCCTGCCTCAGCCTCTTGAGTACCTGGGACTACAGGCGCCCACCACCACACTCGGCTAATTTTTTGTATTTTTAGTAGAGATGGGGTTTCACCGTGTTAGGCAGGATGGTCTCAATCTCCTGACCTCATGATCCACCTCCCTCGGCCTCGCAAAGTGCTGGGATTACCGGCGTGAGGCCTGGCCATGCAGATTTTTTATATACCTTCACCAACCTCCAGTTTGGAATCTTCATGATGAATAAAAACATTTTACTTTCTTTTTTTTTGAGACAGAGTCTCACTCTGTTGCCCAGGCTGGAGTACAGTGGTACCGTCTTAGCTCACTACAACCTCTACCTCCTGGGTTCAAGTGATTCTTGTGCCTCAGCTTCCCGGGTAGCTGGGATTACAGGTGTGCACTCCCACAGTACACACTATCACACCCAGCTAATTTTTGTATTTTCAGTAGAGACGGAGTTTCACCACATTGGCCAGGCTGGTCTCGAACTTCTGACCTCAAATGATCCGCCTGCCTTGGCCTCCCAAAGTGCTGGGATTACAAGCGTGAGCCACTGTGCCTGGCCATGAATAAAAACATTTTCTTAGAAGCTATGTGCTGTTGTGCAGTACTAGTCAGCTAACATTTTATTATTCTGTCTTGGTGAGTAAATAGTAGGTCTTTTGTTTGTGAAAACTGAATAGTTCTTATTGTAGATGGTTATATTCATACTTCTTTGCACTCAGAAATTTTAGCCTGCACAGATAAAATGAGAAGGTATAAATCTATCTGACCATTTTAAAGTAAGGAAACAGTTGCTTGCTGTTGTAACCAGAGAAAAAACACCCAAAAATGAATTAGTTTATAAATAATACGAGGTGAAGAAAAGTTTGGTTTTCTTTTTCTTTTTTTTTTTTTTTTTTGAGACGGAGTCTCGCTCTGTCGCCCAGGCTGGAGTGCAGTGGCTGGATCTCAGCTCACTGCAAGCTCCGCCTCCCGGGTTCACGCCATTCTCCTGCCTTAGCCTCCGGAGTAGCTGGGACTACAGGCGCCCGCCACCTCGCCCGGCTAGTTTTTTGTATTTTTTAGTAGAGACGGGGTTTCACCGGGTTAGCCAGGATGGTCTCGATCTCCTGACCTTGTGATCCGCCCGTCTCGGCCTCCCAAAGTGCTGGGATTACAGGCTTGAGCCACCGCGCCCGGCAAAAGTTTGGTTTTCTTAGAGGCAGGATCTCACTTTGTTGCCTAGGCTGGAGTGCAGTGGCACAATCATGGCTCACTGCAGCCTTGAACTCCTGGACTCAAGCGATCCTTCCACCTCAGCCTCCCAAGTAGCTCGGACTACAGACATGGGCCACCACACCTGACTTTTTTTTTTTTTTTTTTTGAGACGGAATCTCTCTGTTATCACCTGGTCTGGAGTGCAATGGCATGATCTCGGCTCACTGCAACCTGTGCCTCCCAGGTTCCAGCAATTCTCCTGCCTCAGCCTCCCAAGTACCTGGGATTACAGGTGCCTGCTACCACGCCTGGCGAATTTTTGTATTTTTAGTAGAGATGGGGTTTCACCATGTTGGTCAGGCTGATCTCAAACTCCTGACCTCAGGTGATCCACCTGCCTTGGCCTCCCAAAGTGCTGGGATTACAGGTGTGAGCCACTGTGTGCGCCTGGATTTTTTAAAACAATTTTTAGGAGAGATTAAGTCTCCCTACGTTGCCAGGTTGGTCTCAAACTCCTGGGTCAAGTGATCCTCCTGCCTCAGCTTCCCAAAGTGCTGGGATTACAGGTGCGAGCCACTGCTCCTGGCCTGGATGAAGAAAATTTAAAGGATACAAGGATTTAAAATACACCATCTTCCTCTCATAAAACGTATTCTAATCGATGAGACAAAACCAACATATGTACAAATGTAAGGACCAATAATAGACATATCAGGATAAATGATGAGCTATATTATGATGGCATTAATTATTAGTATTCATAAAGGCTACAAGTCCTAGTATACAAGTTCCTGCTGATAAGGACTGTAATCTCCTTTATTCAGAGTAGACTCTTCTGTCTGGCCAGTGACTGTAATATTGGCCAATATTAACATTTATAATATTGGCAGGTATTATTTATTGGTTATAGAGCAACTGTGATGTGCCAGTTACCTTATAAACATTAATCCTTTTCTTGCACACAGCAGTCCCACTGTGTTTTCTTTTCTTTTCTTTTTTCTTTTCTTTCAGATGGAGTCTCACTCTGTCACCCAGGCTGGAGTATAATGGCACAATCTCGGCTCACTGCAACCTCTGCCTCCTGGATTCAAGCAGTTCTCTCACCTCAGCCTCTGGAGTAGTTGGGATTACAGGTGCATGCCAGCACACCCAGCTAATTTTTGTATTTTTAGTAGAGATGGGGTTTCACCATGTTGACCAGGCTGGTCTTGAACTCCTGACCTCAAGTGATCCACCTGCCTGGGCCTCCCAAAGTGCTGGGATTACAGGCGTGAGCCACCGTGCCCAGCTACTGTGTTTCTTTAGTATGCGTCTTCTCCCACTCTCATCATCTATTTCAGACTTCCATCCTTCACTTTGCATAAACTCTTAACAGATGACTTTACCTCCAACTTTACAGAAAAAATAGAAGCCATCAGATGGGAATGAACTCAGCTGCCTGCCACCAAACCAAAACTACTAACATGGCCACATCTATCTGTGTAGAACAAAACAACAGTTGTAGGTGAAGCAGTCTGCCCTGCACTAGAGATGGACTTATTCTACACCTATTCTTTTCACTTTCCTTCCTGTTATACTGAAGGAGGTGTCTCTCTTCCTGTCCTTGGCCAATATCATCTTTTTTCCACTCAGGGTTATCTTTCCCAGGTTATTATTTCTCTTTTTAGTAGCTTCAACCCACCCCTCATTTTTTTTGAGACAGAGTTTCACCATGTTGCCCAAGCTGGACTCAAACTCCTGAGGTCGAGTAATCCTCCTACCTCAGTTTCCCAAGGTGCTGGGACTACAGGCTCTTGTCACTGAGCCTGGCTTCTTCTTTTCATCAGCATTAACACACTTGGATTTTCCTATCTTTAAAAAGCATTTCCTGGATCTCACTTAGTTTTCCAGCTACTGTCTCATCTCTCTCCTCCCATTGCAACAAGAGTTCTTGAGAGAGTTGTCTACACCTGCTATCTTTAGTGCCTTACCTCCCACTACCTCCTCAGCCCATTAGAATCTGAATTCTGCTTCCATTCTCTAGCAGTCATTTAAGATCACAGTGACACAGAGCTGGGCGCCGTGGCTCACGCCTGTAATCCCAGCACTTTGGGAGACCAAGGCAGGTAAATCACCTGAGGTCAGGAGTTTGAGATCAGCCTGGCCAACATGGCAAAACCCTGTTTCTACCAAAAATACAAAAAAATGAGCTGGGTGTGGTTGTGCATACCTGTAATCCCAGCTACTCAGGAGGCTGAGGCAGGAGGATCGCTTGAACCCAGGAGGTGGAGGTTGCAGTGAGCTGAGATCCTGCCACTGCACTCCAGCCTGGGCAACAGAGCTTGACGGTGTCTAAAAGAAAAAGAAAAAATGAAAGAAATCACAGTGACTCTTACTCCTAAATCTGATGGACACTTTGGCCTCCTTGTCATTTGCTCTTTACCTATTGCCTTGGCTTTCCTGATGTCACACTCTGGTTTTCCTTCTATCTCTGTTGATTACTCCACCTCAGCCTCCTTTGGAGGTTCCACCTCTATCTTTTCTCACTGCAAGTTCTTCTCCTAAGAGACCTTGTTCACTCCCATGGCTTCAGTTACTGTCTATATATATATACTGACAGCTCCCAGATTTGTGTTGTAGTCTAGGACTAGATTTCTCTTCTTAGCTCATATTACTACCCATATATTTGATGTCTCCATTTGAACTGAACTCATAGTCTTAACTTTCTCCACCTCCAGCATTCCCCTTCCAATCAGTGGTATTGCTGTTCAGTCAGCCACTCAAACCAGAAACCCAGGAGTCATCCTTGACTCTTCTCCCATTCCTTTACTCCTTACATTAAAAAAAAAAAAAAATCGGGTGCTTTGGCTCATATCTGTAATCCTAGCACTTTGAGGGGCCAAGGTGGGGGGATTGCTTGAGGCCAGGAGTTTGAGACCAACCTGGTCAACATAGCAAGGCCCTGTTTCTATAAAATATTTAAAAATTAGCCAGGTGTGGTGGCATGCGCCTGTAGTCCTAGCTACTCGAGAGGCTGAGACAGGGGGATTGCCTGACCCTAGGAGTTCAATGCTGCAGTGACCCATGATTGTGCTACTGTACTCTAGCCTTGGCAACAGAGCAGGACACTGTCTCAAAAAAAAAAAAAAATCAATCATTGGCAATGCATAGTGGTGCACACCTGTAGTCCCAGCTATTCAAGAGGCCTCCAAAATCTATGTCCTTTATGCCCATTTCTTTCCATTTCTATTGCCGCTGCACTAATCCAGACTATAATTAATTCCTCCCTGGACTATTGCAACAGCCTCCTGAAGTGGCTGCTTCCATTCAGTCTCACATTCAACAGATATTTTTTGAATGACTCCTATGTTCCACGTACTACTTTAGGTGCCGGGGTGATAGCGAACAAAGCAGAGTTCCTGCTGTCCTGGAGTTAAATGAACAAATGGTAAAAGCTATGAAGAAAACAAA